TTTTTCTTCTTTCTTACTCCAAGGAAATCCTGCAGGTTTTACTTTCTATCACAAATACTTTCCCCAAGTAACACATATACAGTAGTCAGCTGCAAACAGGATATTTCTTGCCTAGGCTGAAATTATTCCATTTGAAGTAAAATAGTCACTATGAATGGAGGGACTTTCTAATAACTCTTTACAGATGTAAGATTTTGGGGGAAAAAATAGCAACAATCTATTTTCTTCTCAATTATATTTAGGGAGCATTTCAGCTGCTAAGCAGGGACAGGCATCGACAAAAGTATCGAGTATTCATTACAACTCAAACCTTGACTTTTCCCATATTCATTAACGCTCCCTGTTCTGTGCGAGCAACATCTCTCAATGAAGAGTTTTAAGTTACTTGCGGTTTCACGTGAGCTATCACTAATTTAATATAAATAAAAAGAATAACTTCTGGACAGCAAGAACATCAGAGCAGGCTTAAAAGAGTGTTTTAACTCGACAGCCTGAGAAATTACAGTGAATTTTATGAAAGCTATGGCCAAGTCTATATTTTTAACCCGAGCATGCTTACAAATTTCTGATCCAAAAATATTGGAAAAAAATGTAATTCAGACCACAACTACTTCTTACATGTCCACAGAAAGTTCATAACCATGAACAAACATCAATGCATCTTACCTCAATCATTATATGAAAGGCGTGCTTGCAGAGAGGGGAGAAAACACAAGCAAAAGAAATTACTATTTATCTAGAGAACGAGATGAAAAACAGCTTATAAGCAATGAGACAAAGCAAACTGTGAATTAACAACAGAAATGCTCATGGGGGTAACAATACCTTCTTGCAGTAGTAATGATTTAAAATTAAAAAACATCATTAACAGGTCAGCAAAGAAAAAAGGCAGAAAAAAGGAATATAATAGAGCTCATTTGTTGAGTTCGTGTTGTGGCTGCAGGAGGGAGGCAGCGCGGCGGGTGCCCGGGCAGGGGAAGCGCGTGCAGGAGGAGCGGCGCGAGAGGGCACTGCTGCTCCGCGTCCCGGGCGCCGGGAGCGCATCCCGGGCGCCGGAGCCGTACGGAACGCGGTGCCGAGCACACGGAAAGGCGCCTCGCGCTGCTCAGCGCCGCTCCAACCGTGTCCTCAGGAGCGCACTAAGAGCCTGTGCTGGAGCAGGGCCAGCGCACGCCTGGCATCACTGCGATAAGGAGCGACAGGGGGGACCAAGTGCTCCCTGCCGGCCGCACCAGCAGGGCCCCGGGTGCCACCGGTTTGAAAAACACCGGTAGTTATTCACATTCACAGCATGAAAACGGTTGTGTGGTTGTTTAATAACCCTCTTTCCTGTGGTTGTAAAAAGAGTTCGGAGAGTCACTTCGTGCCTCTCTGCTCTCTCACTTCCCTAGCTCCTGGGTATCACGTGTATCCCTCAGGAACAGGGAAATCCCGTCCTTCTGGTCGTGCCTCAATGGAAAACTGTAATCATGGGACCGAAAAACAGAGAAGTCCTTGTCCTCCCTGCTGCTCTATGGGGATCAAACCCCCAAAGCACTAAAAATTTAGAAGCACAAGGCGATCTTCCAAGAGCTTCAGGGATATTGCAGAGCTTCTGTGATTGAAACGCTGTCCTCGACCCTTCATACTCCGGCCCCCCATCCTGCACTTTTCCGTAGAAATGCGAGTACCAGCAGTTTAAGCATTATACGGCTATCACGGTCATGTAAACGTTTGCTTGCTTGGTTTAGTTTAGGAATTAATACAGCTCTTATAAATACGAAAGAAATGGAAAACCCTAGAGAACAGTAACCATAGGCACAAACAGAGACTTCGCATCCACCGCGGCGGGAAGGACTCGGCTGCGATCCCTGCAGGCAGCCAGCCCGGAGCTGCACGGGCTCCTCCGGAAACCAGGGCAATCCACAGCCATAGCTCAACTCCAAGCAAGTCACAAGCCTCTGAACATGAGGTTCACACCAAAAGCAAATACATATTTTAATGTCTTGCAGTGATTCCTTGGTTGTTCCTAACTAGAGTCCTAATTTTGCCATCAACATATTTGTCAGCGGGCCCCTTGACCTCTCTATTCCTAAAACTGAAACAACTTCTTAAGACATCAGGAATAAGTAACACTGTTAGTGTTCTCTTACCTGTTAAACATTTAAAAATACTGCTGCAATTAAGGTTTATTTAAATGGAGATAGCTCACTCAAAAGCAAACTAAAAAACAAGGACTTTTTAATTTAAAAGCAAAATCATAATGATCTGGAAACGGACACTTGGGCATCTTTTTTTATAGCAAACATAGTATTAAATAAACATGGGCTTCAATTATTTGCCATATAAATTATTTCTCCTGGTAAAGATCTATAGTAACTACTTATGTAATGGGCATGAATGCTTTGAGCAGCCACCTCCCAACTACCCATTTAAGGGCTCCTTGTTTACCAGGCCTTTTCCAGCGCATCCTTACAGTCTCCCATCCAGACGCTTTCTTTTTCTTTTAAGCCCCTCCATGCCACAACCAGGGGAACACACTGGACCCTTCCCTGCTCTGATTCCACAACAGTCTCACACACTTCTGGAGGCCCAGGGCTCGAGATCATTTAGTTCTGCTGTTTAAATTAACACTGCCCAACATCAACATTCCTGCATGTTTGGAGCATCTCCTTCTCCTTTTCTTATTCTTCAAGTGTTGCAATGGCTCTACAAGAGCATCTCCCATAATAGCAAACAGGCATAGGAAGAAAAGATGGAACAAAACCTAAACGCTTGATTTCTTCATTCTTCTCTGTAGCCAATTGCTATTTTCCTTGTGTGGCAGAAGGATAAAGACCGTCTCAAAACTGTAATTGTGTAAGGTAGATTACCCATCAGTTCATCAAATAATCTAGAGAATAAAAGTAATAAATGAAGGTCTATTAAAGACTTCTTAATTTCTATTTATCAAAGCAAGGTACGGAAATGTGGCCAGTGGTAATTTGCAAGCAAGCCATCCCAGCTCCACACAAATCCTTTGGCACGGGTTGGTGGCTGAGAGCAGGTGACAGAGGTGACAGGGAGCAGCAAAGGGAGCTGCTTGTTTGCTGCCTGCTCCTCTCCTCCCAGCCTCCCTTGCAGAGCTGGAGCTTCCACGTGTCTGCACGCACAGCCACGTGCTGACTAAGGGCAGCACTGCTGCAAACCCTTCTCCTCCTCTGCTATGCAGCTCGTGTTATCTTCATACAGCAGAAACAGCTTTGAGCTGCCATTTCTTAGGGCTGAACCCGAGCTCCCAAACCCACGAGCTAAGGACAAGGAGGTCTTTGCAGCCCCGTGTCTTCAGGAGGAGATGCCCAGAAGAAGGTGCTCACGGCGTGGCTGAGGCGAGAGCCACCTACCAGCCCCATCAGACAGGCCAGCTCCTCATGCTGGATTTGCCTCAGGGGTCCAAAAGCAGAGGGATGACCAGCTCGGGGTCTCTTCCAAATACATGCTTCAGCTGAGATGAGCTCTTGGTTCATCTAGGACACGATTTTTCAAGACCCTGAATGCACACCACCGAGAAGCAGCCATGGCTGATTAATGTTTTCTTGAAAATTCATACCAGACTATTGTGCTCAACTCGGGGAGTCCAAGGAAGCAATATATAGGAGGTTAAAAAGCATAATATGCAGTCCTATTTTTCAACTGAGGAATCCTCTCTGAGGAAATTAAAAAGAATTGGTAAGTCCCAGCAATCAAGTTGGCCTTCCTGAACGCTCCAAGAAGGGCAGGAGGAGCAGCGAATCATTATTCCTTCAATTCTAGGTAATACTTAGCTGGCCTGGATCAGGATTTCCTTGTGCTCTGAGATGTTAAGAACACGAAGCATCTTTGACCCAAGTCACTTCAAATGTTTCAAAAGAGAGCATAAAAGTAGGTTATGAAAAAAAGTTATGTAAATCTGCAAAGCTTTTTTCAACCCTCTCAACACATGACTCTTACTTTAAAACCAAAACACAACCCCACGATCCAATAGGACACTCAACTACAGCAGTGGTGAATTTTTTTTGCACAGTGGCTATAACATGAGGAGAGCTGCACCTGGACCTACGGGAACTAACAGAAAGCAGACACGTTACTGTATCAACTACTACACTATAAAATAGGTTATGGTGCTATCTGCCAGGTGGGAGAGGGCTAATGCTGCACTTGTAATCAGCATTAACTAACATCCCTGGCCCTAGCTCAAGAGACATGAAAAATAAACGAGCATAAACGAGCCCCTGGCCATCCACAGGCATGTTTCTACCAGCAATATTAGCTGGATGCTGCAGGGAAATCCAAACTACCTCCAATTTTGAGATTGGAAGCATTTGTCCACGCAGGTGGCAGTCTTAGCGTACTTAGTGCTAAGGATTGCAAATTAACAGAGCAAGAGCAACCCCTTCTGTACCTTAAACACCTGCAGAAATGGTCCAAACTGTCTCAAATGGAGTAGCAAATGGGCAAGGCCTTTGCACTTGTGCTGCAGACACTGGCAGGAGCTCAGCCCTAGTTACCTACTGTAACAGGGGCCCCTCAGGAGCTCCCTGCAACCAAAATACCCAACAGAAACCCATCGGGAAATGCAAACTTAAATTCATTATAAAAACTGCTTCTACTGCATGAGTTGTTGCATAGTTCTCTGCTTGTCCAAAGGGAATATGAAGATAAGATAATCCACACAACTGTGAGCCTCAGCAGGAGCTGCTCCCTATTCTGGGCACACTAGGAAACAATTCTACTTTTAAAAGAAAAGGAAGCTGTTTCCATTCCCTCAAAAGTTTGTCCTTAACACTTCATTACAGTTTCAAACATTTCTTCTTGCCTCTTACTCCATTCTTTCCAATCTTGCACTTTC